ATACTATCTTTTTGAAATACAACGTAGGTAGTAGAAAGACATTTTTTTTATGTGCATGTGACAAGAATGGCCATCTCTTGTATTAGAGACGTTTGAAAATACTCAAACTCCGTAATGTTTTTGATATCCACAGTGTTAAATACCTAACATGAGCCACGTCTTCAACTTAAGGATCATTCTAGGGAGGAACCATGCGGCCACATGCTCTGTGGTGCTTCAGGGAAGTATTTACACAGAATCACAGAATGGTAGGGGTTGGAAGGGACCTCTGTGGGTCATCTAGTCCAATCCTCCTGCCCAAGCAGGGTCACCCAGAGCAGGCTGCACAGGGCCTTGTCCAGGCGGGTCTGGAATATCTCCAGAGAAGGAGACTCCACAGCCTCCCTGGGCAGCCTGTTCCAGGGCTCCGTCACCCTCAGAGTGAAGAAGTTCTTCCTCATGTTCAGATGGAACTTCCTCTGCTTCAGTTTGTATTTGAGGTATCTTGGTAGACTTGGATGGTGTGAGTTTGAGTCGCAGCTGCATGGAAGCAGCAGCCGCCAGCACTTTCTTCTGCCTTTCCCTCAATCTCAGCCATATGTTCTTCCTCCCCTGAAAAGGGGGCCAAGCAGGCGGCAGCAGCATGAAGCATGGCTGCAGAAGAAGAGATGTTTGCCTTTTGTCTTCGGTCTTCTTGACTGGGAGAAAGTAGGCAGCTAGCTGGAAGCATCGCCTAAGTCTGGGCTCAGCTTGCGGCCCTTGGTGGAATGTCTTCTCTGGCTTTGAGGGCTATCAGAAGCCATTGTGATGTGTGGCAGCAAGTTCAACAACTGCTAGCATTGAATACGGAAGAGGTCCCCCAAAAATAGCAGTGTTTCTTTTTGGTAGGTCTGTTTAGAAAACAACATTGTACCCGTTGGCTCAATTTGCATGTCTGAAAGGCTTCTGTTCAGTTAATTGGTTAAATTAATTTCTGCTGTTGTAAAACGAAAGCTGTATTAAGAGCAGAACTAAAGTGATTTTACTTTACATTATTCTGTGTCATGGCACATCGTTTCTTTCTTACTCAAGGCAATTCATTTTGTGGTGCTGTCAAATAATATTTTGTGTCATCTTCAGTCAATGTAGCTTTTACAATTTTCGCTGATATTTTAACAGTTTATTTAGTCCTCTAGATAATGGTCAATGGCCTTGAGTAGTCAAATTAACACCTCGGCAGCACTATATTTGAGCAAACTGCTAACGGTAACCTCAGGATGAAAAGCAATGAGAATCAATATAGTAAGCGTGTTTTTAGGGATTATTGATTGATTGATGCGTTCAGGCCTTAACTGGAAGAGGCAGCATTGCCCCACAGCTGACTAAGATTAAGTTGCCAGTTACTGATAACTGCAGGCCATTACCTGCGTAGTATTTCACAAGCTCAGAGATTAGATGGAGACCTTTTATAGTCCTTAGCTGAAGAAGCCGAGGCGTTCGCAGGGTCTGTAATGCCTGCTCCGCTGCAGGAAGGCACTGCTCTCTTCTCCATCTCATACCAGCCGTCGCCGTGAGAATTGGAGACGACATTGATTTGATTCAGGGCTGCCCGTTGTTCCTGTAGGGATCTATTTGGGACAACTGAGGCACTAATGGCTCGTCTGCCCCCCGCCTCCGAAGGCAGCTCCGCAGAAGGTGGGAGCCATGTTAAGCTGTGCTGCTGTCAGCAGGCTGAGAGCTGTGGGTCTCGCTGCCACAACTCTCAATTGCTAGCAGGTTTCTCTCATTGCACCTCATTTGCATCTGGGACATCAATTAGCATGTTTGTTGAGGCTAATTGAATGAAACTCAATCATAGCTCTTAATTGCTTGACTATGTGAAAAGAAATCACATTAATGCAGCTAATTAAGTGTATGGCAATAGATGCAACATAATTAGGAGCGAAATGTAAAAAACAAGCGATGGCGAAGGTGCGAGCGCAGGGGTGCGGGGGACCGGGGCGCTGCCTGCTCCTGTTATCCACACGTTTGGGGAGGGTTCCCTTCCCTTTGCCGCTTGCTTCCCCCCCCTTTGCATTGCTGAATGATGAACATGGACAAGTTGAGAAGAAAAATGCAAATGGATTTGCAATTACTACTTTTTCAAGCTGTTGAGGGGCAGAAGATGGCACTTCTGGGGTGGCCCGCTGTTGAGTGGGCTCTAGGGACTTGTTAAGTGCTGTTTAAAAGTACTTGGCTTTGAATTACCCTCATGCCTTGTTAAAGGGTTTTTTCCCCTTTTTTCTCGGATCAGCATTTTCTACAACTAACATCTAGGGGAGTTATATCTGTAACATTTGCATATCAAAATCAGGCTTGCTGTCTTCTCTTTACCACAGCATATTCCAGATGACAGCAAGACCCTCATCTGTTCTAATCTGATCAAACCCTCCATTGCGCTTCTGAAGCTGCGACGTTATTTTGTAGTTTCAACTTTTATTCCCCGAGTGCAGATCTGAAGGAGCGCGCGTGGGGGCGGGTGCTCCGCCGACTGGAAGCTTGGTGCTTGCCTCTCCTCCTCGGGGAAATGCGGAGATTATCGCTATGCATCTCGCACACAATGAAAGAGGCTTTATTATTTACATTTGATATATCCCTATAAATATTTAAGCTGACATTAATACCTATGTGGCATCTGTTGTGTTTGGGCACTTTGATGTAATAATAGTGTGGCTACAGCGCATTTATTTCCTGTTTGCCAACATTCACTTACTCTCTCAAATGGTTTATAGCTCACCTAAGCCTGGTTTACTCTCAGTTAAAAGGGCTTTAATAATGCCCTGTCACACCTCGCAAGTTGGCAGGGTAGCAGGTAGATGAATAGGTACACACTATTCATCTGAAGAATTTGGAATAAATGTCGCCACCTCAAATGCAAGCGGGGTATACTGGTTGTTGTATGTTAAATAAAACGTGTCTATTAAAAAGAGTACATGCTGAGGTTTAGTCACTATCTGATTAAGCCTCATTTTAGAGCCCATAAGCAATAAATGCTCAATTATGTTCTGGTTATTGTATTTTAATTTGTGAAGAACTGACACTGAACAAGAAAGTTATGCCAACTTGGTAATTTATGGATGAAACCGTTGTGTTCATCTCTATCTTAACACCTAGTGAACGAATTTTTATTAATGGATTGCCTTTGTTTTGTTTGGCAGCAGAGCTCGGTGTCCTCAGCCCACAAATTGTTCAGACTCCCCTTTTTTTACTGTTAATAATTCTCAAAGAGCTAGGGAAAAAAAAAGCTGGTGTGATGGCTTAGCTTGAGGTTTTTATCACAGATTAATGTTAGCTGTGAAGAAATGAACGCTGGTCCGATAGTAGATTTCTGATGTGTTTTGAGCAGAATATGTAATTTGTATTGCAAAACCTGTCAAAGGTAGAAGAATTTTTATGAGGGAGCTGATTACTCTCCATATTGCGGCAGCGGGGATCTAGACCTCAGTATGTTTTTAGTCCATTCGGGTATTTGCTTGTAAAATCGGTGCTCTGGTGGTGTACAGGTCTGTATGCTGCAGGTTTGGAATCAACCTAGTTAAATGTTGGTAGTCTTTCATATAACACCTTGTGATCTGGCTAAATCTTGCCCTGGATGCTTGGGCGACTGGCAGCTATGCCTTCACTGGCAAGACTTTGCTTGTGCAGCTGCCAACAGCATCACCCAGGCCTCTCTAAGTTGATCAAGTTCTGCCTCAAAAGGAATTAGATTTTTTTTGTCCCAGCTGCTCCATATAGACTCAAGGATACCATTCCCTTGGTTTCCAGCTTAACTCAAGAGCTTAAGCCCAGATCTTTTCCCAATCTTTAGTTCCAATTGCTATTTTCCTCTGGGGGTACGTATACCCTGATGTATCTTTGTGCAATGCTCTTACCCCTTTTCAGTCTTTATTTTGCTGTCCTGTGCTACCCGCCTTGCAGGTCTTCTCATAAAATACGGTCTTTTTGTTTCTTTTAGTGTCCTCGTAGTTGTTTCAGTTTCAGTTATTTTTTTCTGGAACACAAGTAACCACAGCCATGTGTACAGGGAGATGAAAACATTGATGTCTTGTGTACTGGCTTTTAACATTCACCATCTCTACTGGAAAAACCTCTTCTGATGCACCCCAGGACTGCAGCCTCAGTGGCTGTCTCACCTTAATGAATTGTCATTTGTCCTCCATGTCCATTTGCTTTTCTGTTTTCATCTGAAGAAGCCCACAGACAGTCTAGGGAATACCTTTGAAGCTGGAAAGCAGAATCTAAAGAGCCTCTTTTTCCAGAAGCTATTTACAGTTTGAAGAACTTTCTCATGGATTTCTTGGGAAGCAGTGGCTTGGCTTCCAGTCAGTTGACCACTGTCTGTCCACAGCTTGGCTGCGTTTGCTTATTTCCTCTTTGTGGGCTTTCCAAACAAGAATTATGAAAAGCCTTTTCCACTTCTGGCTTCCAGCTTTTAGTGTGTTTACCCTAATCAGACACAATTTGCGTAATATTTTTCCCTTCTGTGATTTTTTTGTGTGTGTGGAGGAAGGCTGGGATTCTAAGAAAACAACGTTGCAATTGCAGAAACCTTGCCAGTCAGTGCCCTTCCGTAAGTTTGTGCCTGCTGGCCAATTTCAGCCAAATTTGAGGGAGAAAGAGGTAAGCGCATAAAACATTGGCAGATAGGAGACACAACTAAGCGTGCTCATGAGGGACAGTCAACCTTGTCGTCTTCTGTTTGGGACCTGCTAGCTGGTGAACTTCTACAGGTGGCTCCGAACCGGCCACATTGTGAATTGCCTCTTATCCAGCTGGTAGTTGGAGGGTGTGTTAGAAAGCTCCAGACTTTTGGAATTATTTGTGGTGAGAATTGTGGAAGGTATTATCAAGAAAGTGGAAGGAAAGGGAAAACCGCGTGGTGGGTGCTGGCAGATGATGTAGGGCAAAGTCTTATGAAACCAGGTTTCATTAGTTCTGCTGGTTACAGAACTACCTGTTTGATATTGGGTTTGTTGTTTTGATTTTTTCCCCCCTCTTACCAGGACTATATGCAGAACGTTCACGGGAAAGAAATCGACTTGCTGAGAACCACTGTGAAAGTCCCCGGGAAGCGGCCACCCCGAGCGACGTCAGCTTGCGCACCCATTGCCAGTCCCAAAACAAACGGCCTCTCCAAGGACATGAGCAGTTTACACATCTCGCCGAATTCAGGTAAGACAATACCATGCTAGAGGGGAAAAAAGGGAAAGATTGCATTTCCAGCGTCTGTAGGCAAGTGTCATGTAGTACACGGGTGGGGACAGTATCTATTAATAATTTACAAATCCAAATAACTACTGATGTGTAACTTTTTAAGCCCTGACTGCTCATCTGTCCTCCACAAGAGATTAAGTTTCTGAGTAACCTTCAACATCCATCTTTTTGTATTTGTTACCTTATGCTTGCCAAAACCCAACGTAGTTTCACAGAAATTAAGAGCAGTGAAGAGCTGATGCTGCCTTAGGACTGATCTATTAGCTCTAATACTTCGGAAAAATGGGAGATGTATCATTTGAAAGGGCTTTTGTTGGCTTCCTGGTGGGATCCACAGCACTTCTTTCAGCTTTTAGAAGGATGCATAATTTTGGACATTTCCAAGAGCAAGTCTTCTGTAGAAAGCTCTTTTAGTTGGTTTATGGAAGTAGTTTATAGCTCCTTGTTAGCTCTACACAAAGAAGTTTATTGTTTGCTGAAGTAACTTGTCCATCCAGCTAAGTGGATTTAAAAAATTGCATTAAGGAAAAACATTTAAGACAATTTGTCTTGTAAAACGCACAGCTTATACAAAACTCATAATGGTATAGTGTTGGTATGGAAGTTTTGTCAGCATGTTTGGGATGACATCCATAAAGAGCCAAGTGCCTTTTACATTTATGGTTAACGTGGACACCTCCAGCATGTGCTGACAGAACCATCCAGACACCCTGTTGTCCCTGTGCAATGCCCACTGCACAGGTGGGATGAGCAGCCACGGGGAGGAACTCGCTCACCTTGCTGTTCAAGTGTCTGCTCTTGGATAGTAATCGTTACCTTATGCTTCAAGTCAAAATCTAATTCCCAGCAGTTCTGCAATCTGCATTTCCCTTTATTCAGGGAAGAGGGAGAAGGATTTTTCTTCCAGCTGCGAGTGCTGCTCATTGAGATGAATGTTTAAAAAAGGAAAAGCTAAAAAAAAAAAAAAAAAGCCTTGTGGCTTTACAGTGGTGCCACTGAGCAGACATCCCTGGAGATCTCGTCTGGCGTTGTGCATTAGTTTTGCTGGCGACCGGAGGTGTCTGAAGCCGTGATTTCCTCAGACTCCTTTTCAAGTTGTAGCCTACGCCTGGAGAGGCACAGAGCTGGCATTGTCACTGGAAGAGTTCGTAGGAGAACATCATTTGTGATTGGTTTGGTTTTTCCATTTTGCTGTTTAATTTAGATGATTGGGTGTGGGGAGTGTTTTTGTTCTTTGACATAGTCCATAGTTTAGGGAAGAAAAGTGCTGCACAGAGTCGATAAACCAGTAGTAAGACGTTTATATAAGAGAGTTCTACTTTAAGACATTTGAACACAGGCAAAAATTACTTGATTGCTCCAGAGAAGTACGTTTCTGAAAACATACTCAGAGATACATACTAATAAAAAGTTTATAGCGTGGAATTTACATGTTTTGGCGTATGCTTAGGTTGCTAGGTCAGAGAGAAACAGCTTGTACATTGATTTCAATGACTATTGCACGATTTTGTTTCGAGGCTCTCTGCACATGGAATGCTTTCTTTACATGAAACTGTACAGTAGACAGCTCTCTCTAGCAGTGGTGGTAGCTGCTGTGTAGCTATCCTGGCTGACCTGGGGCTTTATCACACAGCAGTTGTTTTAAAAGAGATAAGTTAATTATACTAGAAAGTGCAAATGCTGGAAAACAGCTCTGCTTTTGGATAGCATTTTTCAAATAACATGGTGGGAATAATTGGATCTTCTGTCCTCTCTCTTGGCATCCTTATCAAGTCGCTTAGAAATACTGAAAGACTTTTGTGTTGTTGATGTCTGGTTACCACAGCTCAAGAGATCTACTGTGGTTAAGTCTTAAAATAATTAATATCCTCCTAATGTATGAAAGAGTTGTATCCCAGGGAAGCTGAACCTGGTTTCTCTGTCATTACCAACTTGAATACATTCAATTCCTCTCTTAGGCAGTGGCACACTACACTGATCCTTCTTCAAGTGTAAGCAAGTTCTTGAACTGCTTACATTTGCATGGCACTCATCCCGTAGATAAAGCAAGCGTTGATGTCTTAATTATGTTATCCCTATAGCTGGCTGGCAGCAGAACAGTTTTGAGGCATCTCTCTAACTTGCTGGGGGAGCAGGTGAAGACAGGCTGGACTGAGCAGCTTACGCTCTACGTGGCAGCCGGCCAGGCAAACATCTCTCTACGGTTGTATTGCGTTAGTTCAGCTGTGTAAGCAGTGAGTAGTTTCAGGCCTGCCGTAGCATTTTTCCTTGCAGCCGTTGCTTCTGAGAGCCAGGTTGGTACATTCAGGGCGTTATCAGCCGTGATATCTCTTCTTTGGGGTTATTCTTCACAGAATTTTTCTTCTGAGGAAGCAGCATTCATTGAATCTTTCTTACTGTAAAGGCCACATTTGAGGTCAGTCTGGTTATTGAATTACTGGACAGAATGACCAGCAGCAGCAAGACAGAGGAGCTTTTTTAGAAAGCTGATTGATCCAAGCAGTGGCTACTCAGTTAAAAACAAACAAAGAAAGGAACTGCTACTCAGTAAAGTATTGCTTTAAAAAAAAGAAATAAAAATTAAAAAAAAATAGTAGGAGGAGAGAATGGAGTTGGGAAATAACTGTCAGCAGCTCAGCTGTGCCTCGGTCCTTATGTCACTCTCAATGCTCTCGTGTCCAGGTAAGACTGAAGAGCTGCGTTGCAGAAAGTGATTTTAAAATATTAGGGGAGTATTAGTATTGTGAAAAAGACACTGTCACAAGCTGTGCCTGGCTTGTTCGTCTGAACTTTTGTGTGGTCAAGTATTTTGACAGTGGTTTTTATGCAGAGGGTCAGAGCTTCTGTTGGGTGGGAGACCTGTAGGTTCTCGGCGCTCAGCTTCTGGAGTGCCAGGAGGACTTCTGGTGTCTCCGCAGTTATCTGTCATGCAACTAAAAACATTTGCAAATTACCCCTTGTTCTGTCTGTGGTGCTGTCTCAGAGCTTTCTCTCAGTTGTTAGCGCTGGCAAAATGTTGTCTTCATCTTGAGTGATGCTTTAAAATTGATCGCAGGGCCCAAGTTGTCTGTTGCTATTTTTTCACTGGGAGGTTTCTGTACATGGAGCTGCTGTACAGGAGAGGTTTGGACCAAGCACAGAAAGAATCAACACTTACTATATATTTTTTTTTTTAGGCATGCAAATACACTCCATGCTCACTGCTTCACGTTACCTCTTCCCTAAAACAGTGACGTTCTCTGTTCTTCTGCGCTTTTTGCCAGTGCAGACTTGGTACCTGGCTTAGAAGTGAAGACTCTATTTCATTTAGTTGTTTGCTGTGGTCAGGAACAGCCTAATTTTCCTTCTGCTGTTACGCAATTGTGTACAGTTGAGTGAAGAAGCCAAGATACTAAAAGAATACCACTGCTCAATTAAAACGTCGTGTTTAAGATTGCCCCTGGAAGTCTTTGCTTAAACATGATGACAGCCCAGGCCTGCTAAAAGCATTTCTCAGCTGAGATTACCTATTTTCCACTGACTTGTGTTCCTAGAGATGGCTCAACGTATTTTCTTTCAAACATCAAAACAAAAAAGTTAATGCGTTTTTGTTGTTAAAACAGTCAAATAGTGCTATACATTTGAAGTAATCAATGGTCTATTATTAAACACTGTTCAGAAGATGCCCCTTGAATATGGATTTCAGTGCTGATTTGGCCAATAAATATGTGTATTTGATGTCTGATTTACCTATAACTGATTTGTTTTAAATTCATTCCTTCACGGGTGCCCAACAGATAGTTTTCTCTGTCTCTTAATGGAATTTTTGTATTTTGGGTAGATGCCAGCACATCGGCTGGTCTGATAGGGAGGCACAGGCAAAGCCTCTTGCCTGTCAGCTGGCGGGTTATAAAAGACATGCCATGGGGATGCTGCCTCAGAGGTTGGTGCCCTTCAGGACAGGTGTCAGGGGTAGCACATGGAGACACTTGGGGATAGCTCAGGTCAGGGCCAGGGAGTAGGAGCAGTCGCCGCACAAGAGAGAGTCCAGGGATAGGTTTTATCTGCTAGCTCCTGCTTGATTTCTGAAGCGATGAACATTGGTACCTTGTGTCTCTGCGAGGCAGTGCTTGCTGCTGGAAGTAGAAGACGCAGCAGCTTCATCCATGAGAGAGCTCAAAAGTTCATTCAGCTTTTCTTCGAATCCCCACCACAGTCTGTGAGGCAGTGGGGGCAGCTTGAGCTCTTTCTTCTCATCACCTTCCCTCTCTAAAGCCTTCTTGAACCTAAGTGATGGCTTGCATCAAACATGTTCAGTCTCTTTCTCCCATGTGCTTAAGCACAGTGAAGGTCTTTCCCAAGGTGCTTCCCATAGTGTTGCTATGAGAAGAGTAGAAGGAATTAGGCTAATAGGGGTGATATTGTCCTGAATTCACAGAACCACAGAATGGTAGGAGTTGGAAGGGACCTCTGTGGATCATCTGGTCCAACCCCCCTGCCCAAGCAGGGTCACCTACAGCAGGCTGCACAGGACCGCGTCCAGGCGGGTCTTGAATATCTCCAGAGGAGGAGAATCCACAACCTCCCTGGGCAGCCTGTGCCAGTGCTGTGTCACCCTCAGAGTGAAGAAGTTCTTCCTCATGTTCAGCTGGAACTTCCTCTGCTTCAGTTTGTGCCCATTGCCCCTTGTCCTGTCGCTGGGCACCACTGAAAAGAGTTTGGGCCCATCCTCCTGACACCCACCCTTGAGATATTTCTAAACATTTATTAGGTCGCCTCGTAGCCTTCTCTTCTTCAGGCTGAACAAGCCCGGCTCCCTCAGCCTCTCCTCATAGGAGAGATGCTCCCGTCTCCTCATCATCCTCATAGCCCTCTGCTGGACTCTCTGCAGTAGAGGGGAGAATTCAAGAGGGGTGTACTCAGTTGTTTGGTAATACGATTACAAGCAGTAAGTGGAAGGTTTTTTTGTTAGATCTAAT